GGTTTTATTTCCTAACCCTGAAGGTATTGTCTCGATCAAGGTATTTATTTTACCTAAATCTGCTTTTAAAGAAATGACATCATATTCACATCAACTCCTTCCAGGTGGAGACCAGTATGAACCAGTTGTCTGTGCATGGCTGTGTGAAACCTGCACAGTACACTGCTCTCAGCCTGTTCAGGTTGTATCTGTGTGTTTCAGGTCTTGTTGATAACTTACCTGTTTGAAAAAGCAGAGTGAGCATGATGGGACCACTTTTCAGTCTCCTCCCCTGTAATGTGGATTCCTCCAGTTTACCTCTGTTTGCTGTTCAAAGAAAAAAAGAAAACTTTGTTGTTTCCTTTTTGAGCAGAAAGTCAGAACAAATTTCTGCATGTGGCCCTTTGTGTGAATTCTGCTGTTACATCCATTAAATTAACTTATAACAGCATGCCTTTCTTTCCTTTTGGCATTTCAACTTTTCACTTTCTGGTGTTGAAAATGTATCATGAGAGATTATGCCTCACTCACACTGTCGTTGACAAGTCTCTGACTTCTTTATCTTGAAGTTAAGAGGGAAGCTGGTGCGCGCGCCCTAGGCTCCAAGTGGATGGGTCTCTCTCTCTCTCTCTCTCTCTCTCTCTCTCTCTCTCTCTCTCTCTCTCTCTCTCTCTCTCTCTTGATTTTTTGATTGATTGGTTTGTTGGTTGATGGATTGGCCGATGGACTGGTTGACTGACTGATTGAGTGATTGACTTTGTTATGTCTCGTCACATGAACCATTGTGTGGTTTGGCCCAATGTGAACAATAAAACGTTGATTTATCTAAAGATACTGTTAGGACTAATTAGCTGATTATGAAACAGACTGAAATGTATATTGATTCGGCATAATAACTGATTATTTCTCTATTGTTATTGAAGCCATTTGTCAGCAGTAATCATGCCAGCATTACATTTCATAGTATGCTTAAGAACCATTCCAGTGCATAAAGGACAAATTTATCTTCCAGTTCCCCACCTTTTCTACACAATCACGAAGACAGAGAGAAAGCCAGCTTACTGAAGTTACCTTTATACAACACCAAAACTCAGATTGACCACAAGTAGCCAGACAACTGGCCTTAAAAAAACTGTCAGCCTGAATGTTGGGACCAATGTACCTCAAGAGTCTCTAATGGTTAAATATATATTTTTTAAACTATTGCATAAGAACATGAATAAAAAGTTGCCATTTTTAGCTCATCAACTGAAATAAAGCAAAAGTCACCTGGAGAAGCCGAGGTAGCACATACTGAGGATGTTTTGCGTGTGGGGTAAATATCGGAGTCTTCTGGGCTTGATGCTGATGGAGATTATCTGCGATCTTAGATTACTCTGGGACTTCATCATGAACTAGCTGGCTATTGTCTTCTGCAAAGTTGCCTTTTATTTCGAAAAGCTTGAAAGTTTTTAAATTGCTTCCTCATTGTTTGTTCATTTCTGTAACGCTCCATTTCCCAACATACACAATGAACTTATTCAACAAAGCTAACATCACAGTTCAGCACCAGAAATGTTTTGATACAGCCTAATAACCCTTGACTGTTACCGTTACTAGTGACGTCACACCAATCATATGCTTTGCTGAAGAAGAGGAAAGACTTTTTTAAAAATGTAACACTGAGTTGGGGCGCTGGTGGCCCATGTATGGAGGCTATAGTCTTCCAAGCGGGCAGCCCAGGTTCAAATCCCGCCTGTGGCTCCTTTCCCGCATGTCATTCCCCTCTCTCTCTCCCCGATTTCCGACACTATCCCCCGTCCTATCTCTCCATTAAAGGCACAAAAAGCCCCCAAAAAAATAATCTTTAAAAATGAACACAGAGTGCGTACTTCATTACAGTACTCAAGTATTTTCTGGGAATATCTGTACTGTACCCGACTGTATCCTGTCTACATCTACTTTTACTCTGCTAAAATATCAGATACATTTCCCCTAAGAATATTTGTTTCTCTAAATTATATCAGGAGAAATGTATTGGTCTACTTGTTATTTGTATCAACAATGTTGTGTAAGCATTGTGGACGATTGTTTGTTATGGACTTTCATTCTGAAGTGTTTCAGAATGGCTGTAAATTCATAGTAATACTTCTCTTACTTAATGTCTTGTAGTCATTATTAATCACTAACATATTCATATTTGTGTGTTGAAAACACTTATCTGTCCACATAGACATCCCATGATACCTTGTGTTAAGTCTGTTGTTCCTGACAATCCACTAAATGTGGATGTTAAAATATAAACTACAAACCGGAGGCTCTTTCACACATGTTTTTCATCGATCATTTTTTACCAGGCACAACCTGAATGAACAAATACAACAGCAGAAATGTAATAAATAACACATTCTTCTTTCAGCTTTGAATTGATTGACTTACTTACTGACTTTTATCAATGTTCTCTACACTTGAAACTTTTATTGTTTTGTTCTTGCCATTTTGATTTCCGAGCTTTAAAAGATTTTCTGCTTTGAGAATTACCTCCCCAGCGTAATTCTTACTCTTGAAGAGAAGCAGTTTTTGTTGAACTTCTTTTGTCTCAGGGTCTCTTTATCAGTAAACTTTGAAAGAAAATCTCCTTGAATCTCCTATCCTTGAACTCCAGAAATATCATTAAAAAAATAAAATCATTTCTTATTGCAATCGCAAAAAAACAATACTTTGACATTTGGGCATTCAGGTTCAAACAAGTGGACAGCCTGTGAAATCCTGGAGGGACTAAAAGAACATACTGCATTAACAAAGCAGAATTCACGGCGGAGCTGTAGTATTGGATGCCTGCAGACAGAATGTCAGTCTCTGCTGTGCTGAAGCTGCCGACTTTGAGGCCCCTGTGACTTTCTCTTTCATGACTTTTTCCTCATCATTGTGTAAGAAAGGGAACTTCAAGCCCAGAGCTTGAAACACAAAGTACCGTAGTCAAACTAGATGACAGCTTCATTACAGTGCTGAACATATAAGTTAGAACTCACAGAAGCAACCTTTAAGCAGTACTGAGAGGAAAACAAAAGCACCACGTGACAGTTTGCTCTCTTATAGGTCTGTGCTCTCGCTGCTCCCACAGGTATGATGTCACATGACGTCAGAAAATAAACAGTCTGTTTTACAGATCACTGCTGCAGCTCAGTGATTATTCACACTCTGTTTCCTCACACAACAGCTTTATTACACGCTCATATGAAGAGTGTATCCTATCAGAGGGATACTTTCTGTTGCATTGTGTTGTGTTCTTCTATTTTATTTTCAGCCGTCCAGTCGTTATTGTAACCTCAACCTAAACCTAAACTAACCCCATTCCCAAGTCAACAGCTTTGTGTAGTCAGGCAAAAGACACACATATGCTCACTCTTCGCACACACACACCATGTCTCTGTGTGCAGCACTTGTAAGTCCTCTAGTGGAAGTAAACAGTGTGGGATGTGATTTTGTATTCAGGTAATTATTTTGGCATGAAATCTAGCTTTTGAAGCAATTTAGAAATTTTCTGATCTGTGTTTATCTGCTCATTAACTGCGGTGTGTCTGATCGGAGCTGGGGTGAAATAACATGAACAAATCTACCACTTATTTAATTTATCTGTTTTGTTTGTCTGATCAGTTTTACTTCTTACATCAGTGGGATTTGGGATATTTACTCCAGTTTGACTAGATTGTACTTATTTTAGAACATAGTTACAGTGACATTGTATAAACTCTCAATAGAAAATAATAACAGAAATTGCAATAATACACCCAACATGATGCAGACACCTCAAAATAGAGGGAAACGAATCATGTGAATCCAATAGTTAAAAAAAAAAAAACATTTGCATTGAAAAGAGGGACATAACACAAACATGTACACGAAAGGTTTATTTGAAGGTATAGAGAGCCTGAAGGTGTGCAGGTTGTAATGCAGCTCAACAGACACTAGAGGGAGCTGCTACCTCAGTTATATTTCCAGAGCAGCTCAGTTCAGTTAGTGAGGTAGCATAAGCAAAAAAAGAAAACATTTAAATTTGTAGAATAAGATTTGTGCTTTAGGCGTAAACTTCATGTATTTATAATATGTTCTAGTTAAAATCAATAATTTGTAAGTAATTTAAGTAATTTACATACATTCTCTAAATTATTTAATCTACTCCTACAGATAGGAAGGCAGATTTGTTTTTTCAAAATCAACCAACTAAAATAAAAATTCATTTTTCTTTAACGGTCATGTTTTCCCCCCGGTTCTCCCCTTTGTCTAAATAAGTTATTCATATTAATTGTTGTTTCTTTTTGAAGTTCTTAGTAGAATTTATTGTTCACTATTTTAGTTCATTTTAGTGTTTTTTTAGTATTTTGTAAATCCAGCAGTTTAAAAAGAAAACTTTCAGCTGACAGTAAATGGAGAAATAAAAAAAAAAACAAATCTTCATATTTAGATACTCAGGTCACAAACACGAAGATGAAAAAATTGATAGAGTATTAAAGAAGAAATTAAAGATCAAATTACATGTTATTATGATCTCTTAATGAAAAATCTGTTGAACTGCTTTTGCTCACATTACAACTCCATTCTCTTTCTCACCAAACTGATTGAATCTGTTTCATAACCTGACATCAATGATTATGTGATGGGCTTAAATAATTTGTCATAAAACACCATCATTTGAAAGTTTTTGCTTGTAACTGTTTATCTTTATTCCCAGCTCTTATAGTTTCCTATTTGCTGACATTATGTGTAAGTGGTATTGTCATGATGAAGCACTATGAGATGCTAGTCTTAATTACATTATGGTTTCAGCTCTCAGTCCCTAAATGTTCACTAAATGTGTGTCTATCTGTGTAGAGCCCATGTTAGAATTTTCTAAAGATAAACATGAGAATAAACAGCTTCTTTTGTCAAATAAACAGATTTAAAATGTGATTAAAATCTCACAATCGTCGATACCGAGCAAAGATTTTAAATACACATTTTATAAATGTTTTCTTACTCCAAATAAAAACACACATACGTCGTTGCTTGATCATTGTGTTTATTTTCAATATACATTTCATTTGAAAAATATAAATTCTAAAATAAACCATTTCACCTGTTCTAAGAGTCACAAAAAGAAAAATAATATTGAAATCAGTATTCTGTTCTCTAAAATTAACAAGTGTTTTCATTAATATTGTAGATTCTTTTTTTTTTTTTTCACGTTTACAGAGTGACACAACTTAAACTGAACAATTTCCCACATGAAATCTCTGGGACCTTAAGTCACACTTTTCTCCACTCTCTGCTTTCGACTGATATGGAGTATAAATCAGTTCTTTCATTGATAATCTGAAACGAACTGAACAAAACAATAACACAATGAACGTGATGATACAAAAAGAGCATTTCGGTTTGAGCTGACGTTCCTTTACCCTTTATTTACATGATTTTCAGAGGAGGAGGAAGGTGGCTCATTGATCAAACATTTGATTTCTATAGTGGTGATGAAGACAGACAGGATTCCAGCTTCAAATGAAATCTGCGACGACACATTTACACTAAAACAAAAAAACAAGCAAGAAAGTGCTTCAGTGTGCCTTTACAGATCAAATGGGGGGTAAATGAAGTGATGAACATCAACTCTGGCTCATATGTAGGAAATACTGGCCAATAGGTGTCAAGTCGTCACATCTGAGAGGCCTTTTTGAATGATAAACAGAGTTTTTTACAACATTTGCCTTGCGTCCTAAAGACAACAGTGGATGTTATTTTTAGGCTGATTTTTACAAGTCTAGAAAGAAACACACTCACATGTCACATGTACACTGAGAGTTAATGAAAAAGATGGAAAAGAAAAAGATGGTACACAAAATGTATTGCCCATATAAGTATCCGATATCGAAAGTATTCCCAGAAAAGAGGATCTCCCAAATATGAAAGTCCTCCTTTCATTTATTTTACAAGTATATTTCTCAATTTTCTCAACACTTGTAGCACCCAAACAGTAAAATACTTAATTTGAATCGTATATTAGATGGAAATGTTTAATTATTTTACTGCATGCCAGTTGTCTGGCTGCTTCACTTATTTTTACAGATTTTGGTTATAAATACACATAATTTTTTTTATACTTCATTCCCACAATAAAGCTCAGTGTGCTATATCTTTAAAATCAAGGCCCACATTTACAATTAACATTTAAGTGTTTTACACATGAATGTAGTTTATATGTCCTTTTAAAATGGTTCATCACTTATTGTTACTTTGTGAATATGAATGCTAATTCTTTTGTTCTTTAACTTCATGAGGAGTTTCATACAGGACGTTATTGTAAAAGCAGTATTTCTGGTTCTTTGGCCAGATTTTTCTGGTTCAAAAATCCCGTGATCAGTTGATGCTTTCATGAAACCTGGTTGGATTTTTGTTATCCATTAAACTATGTAAAAATACAAAGTTCATGTTTTTAAAACCTTCAGGGTGTAATTTAACAAGACAGTAAGACTTGAAACAAACATAATGATGCACTGAAAAACCCACATTGAAAATGAAAAGTGGAGGATGAAGTATTTTGGATCATTTAGCTATAGCATTAATGATGTATAGTAACCAACAACATGGAGCCAGTTTAAGACACTTTGTTAACTACTGGATAAAAAGTTTGTCACGCATCTTATCATCTGTTTTTCTATTTTCAAAGTGTAAAGAAGAAGTGGAGACAAAAGTACAGTGTTTCCCTCATATCTGCATTACAACAACAGAGGTTTAAGTATCAGAATGGGAAACTTGAAGTAAAAAGCAAATCTGTAATTGTTATCATCATGTGTATTAGCATCTGTGCATTTTAGCACACTTTTCCCCCATAACCAGTTACGTTGCTCTAAAAACAAGGCTTGCGTTTCAGCCTGTATGGAGAGGAAAAATGCTAGTAGTGACCAAGAACTCAGAGTATAAAAAAAGTCATGTAAGTTTCATAATAAAAAACCTCTGAGATTTCTGTTTAAACCTATTGTAACAGGTTATTTTAGAATCATTGAATCAGAAGCTGAGACTGAAGAAATGCCCCCTGCTGTGGACTGAAACTGTCTGACAACCTGGAGTTCACATGGGGTTGGGTTCCCTTCTTATTTTATAGCGTTACCATAAGAGTTTCAGTCTGGATCGATCTCTTATAAGCCACTTAGGTAAAGTAGTTTGTGCAGCAAAAAGCAAACATATGATATGCATTCCCTAGAGTTAAAGTTTGGCTGAAAATATCAGATGATTATGTATTGCTTTACTTTCTTCTACCCACAAAAAAAACAACATGAAAGACACAAGAAAAAGTTACGGACATACACAAATGATGTAATCTTAAAAAAAAAAAAAAGATAAAGTGATTTAATTTAAAGAAATAACAAAAGTTTGAAGAAGATGAAAGAAAAGTTCTGAAAATTAGAAAGAGAAAATTAAGCGAACAAAACTGCATCAAAAGTGATCATAAAAATATTTACCTTTTTCTGCACACACAAATATGCATCGTTAATTCACTGTTATTATATTCAAAGATCTAAGCACACCTTCCTTTAACAGCTATAATAGAGTGAATCTCTTGAATCATTTCAACTCTACTATAGACGACAGAGAATATATGAAAACCCCATGCTGCGTCAAAAATTAACATGTTGCCTTTTTCATAATAAGCATTTATTCTAAAACAAAGAGGTAGAGCTATAAAAAACATATTTTTCCTGCTACAGGAAAATGTTATAAGAGTAATTCCATTTATATAAAAATTCCGATAGATGATATTTATATATATTGATATAAAAAAGAGTAGGGTGGATGGGGGTGGGTGGGGGGGGGGGGTCCGTGCGTGATCAGAGAGAGCTTCAGCATTTACTGTAGATCAGTGAAGTGTGAGAGGAGATGCATAGAAGAGTAGTAAGAAGTTATATTAACTGTGTAGTTAAAAACTGTTAACTCTGTGAGAAAAATACAATAGAGGACTGTGAGGAAGGAAATCTTTGAAATAGTTTAATTATTAGAGGATGGGGGGGCGGGGGAGGCAGTTTAACTTGAATTGAAGGGTTAAAAAAGAACATTTAAAAAAAAAAAAGGAAAAACATCCGAGTGGCCCTGCAGTTGCCGTGGGATACACCTGCTCAGCTGTGGTCCGGTGCTTTACAAAGACGTTTCTGATCCTCGGCTCTTCCAGTAGAATGAATTATCATCGTCTGGGTCCATGTCTATTCTAATCTGAGGCACAGACTTCAGCGGACTCATCTCAGGGCTGAAACAAAAAGAGAGACATTATTTGGACATAGACTTGGATGTTGTGTAATCATAAATTCATTAAATAGCTCCACTTTAATGTCATAGTTTGACATTTGATATTAAGGAAGAACGTGTACAGTGTACTTATAACATTTTTGTTTTTGCACTCTTGAGGCACAAATTCAACCATTTTGTTTGCCGGCTCGTGAGGTCATTTAAGCTCAAAGCAATTTGGCTTCAGTCTTAGCGGAGACAGGATTACTTTGTAATGTCATCACTGTGTTTCATGCCCCTTCAGATGTTACTGACTCTAATAGACATGTGATGAGACAACTGAAAGGTCCAGGAAACAACACCAAATCATACCGTTACTCTTTCATTTCACAACAAAATGTTCCATCTTGTTTGATTGATTTCTCGTCAAGAGGATGAGATTAAGGTTGTTCTTTTCTCAAAACAGACAATATAAGTCAGTTTTTGTCTAAGGGAAATGTCTGAATGTCTTAAATTCAGTGAGCGCTCACTGAATTTAGCATAGTTTGAAGAGCATTTTCCAATAGTTCACATTGATAGACTGCCTGTCTTTTGGTTCGTCAGCAGTAATTTGAACAAACGCCAACCCTTCCGCCTGATCTCACAGTTGGAAACCAATTAGAAAAAGAAATCCTTTAGTTTGTTATTTGGCATCACAGATGTGCCGCTCTTCACACATTGACCCAAACACTAATCCGCCTCCGTCTGCGCTGCCATGAGAGTCGTACAGCAGATAGGCTAAGGCTGAAACAAAATTTGACCCGTGCATACTAGCCGTCGATGGTGGAGGTCACGGGCGTGATTTGAGAAACATAATCTCTTCCTGAGCATCATAATCATCTTTCTAAATATATGCCTAAAAAAACAAGCTTGTTCTCCCTCTTTAAGACTGATTGTTTGCTCTAAAGCTTAAATCACTCACGCACTGTGCGTAAGTGTTATGCAACACGAGCTTGTCTTGATCTAGTCAGCAATTTATGTGGTAGTTAAATGTGCTACGTAGCGCTCATCTGAATGTATGTAAACAAGATTACATTCCTCAATGACAATGACATTTAGGGGTGTCCTTGGGATCTAAGATTTCATTTAAACAACCCTTATCTGAACAGGGAGCTGTTGTAACTTTGCCTCCAGTCTCCTACAAATGTATTTGAAAAGGCAAAAAAAAAAAATCCCCCCAGTATTAAAAAAGCTAGGAAATAATGTGTGAATTTTAACACTGCACACGCAAGCCAGATTGGCTGATGAAGGCTAATGATGATCATGTACGGGAAAATAATCTTAATGTAGCCGTACTTCATCATCGAGATCACTGGTCTCGTCATTTAAACAGACGGCCCAGGTACATTACTTTTGATTTGAATATAACACTCCATAATTCTCTTCAAATGAAGAAAATGAACCCATCTGATGCAAAAGTAATTCACTTCAAAACTTTTCTTATTCATTGACTTCTTCCTCCATCTCCTCATCACCTGGCTGGTTTTGCAGTTTTTATACTCTCTGTAACTCTCCCTCAAATTTTAATGATTGTTTTTGTCTTTTCTTAAATTATTATTTTTTTGCCCAGCTTTTGGCAAAAGCAGTTTTAAAGATATTTACCATAAGAGGTAATGTGACAAGACCCAAGCTTCAATTGTGTCCCAGTCAAATCAAAGTGTAGAGAGGCTGTTTGAAGCGGCTTCCTTTTTACTATGACACATAGGCAAGTGGGCGCTTCAGAAATGTTGTGTTACTATTTGTTATTTTTAAGGGCGGTATCTTAACTGGCCCAATCAGGCCACTGGAACATGCAGCTTGCCCCAGAGTCTTTCACTTTTGTATCCGGGCCAGCAGGCCAGTTCTTATGTTGAGCTCAGGTTTGCTAATAGAGCCCACAGAGAATTCCATTTTTTTTTTTTAAGTTTCAGGTGCTTGTTTTTAAAAAGTTTTGGGTGCTTGTTTTGCTCTCCAGTGTACACATTTACTGTTTGGGTTCACTCTCACTGCTCACTGATGGTGTCTTACTGTGCACTATACCTGCTCAACAGCAGACATACAACAAAAGTGACAGTGGTTAGAGAATTAAGCAACTAAAGAGACTTTTTTTTTGTCAGATGATGGAGACCAAAAACAACAATAAAGTGAAAATTGGATAACAATCATAGGACCAGAAACAAGATGTGGAAAAATCACAATATTACTTTTACTAATTCTTCCTCTTCTTGCAAAGTGACTACTGTAGGTTTAAATTCCTAAGAGTGAAGCAAGATCAAAGAAAGGAGAAATCAAAGATAGGGCACATCTGCTAGCCTTGGAAAAACTACGGGTTGACTATACTTTAGATAAGATAATTAGCCAGGATGACCTTTAAAGTTCAGACTAGCATCAAATTATTCCTTGTTAGCTCATCATCTGACCTTTAGCGACCTTTGCTGCCAGAGTCATAAATGAATTCAAAAAGAAAATCAGTTCCAATTATTTTTAAGCCTTGTACCATTTTGACTATTGAATTTAGCCTGTTGAATGCCAAGAGTCTTTGGTTCTGAAGTCTAACACAAGCACACTCACACCTCACCTGGACAAGCAGTTAGCTTGGTAGTAGCGCAGCTGCTCAGCACGATGTGTGTCGTTCAAGGAATGAAGGGGACTTCTCTCCTGTGAAAGAAGAACACACAAACAGCCATGAGTGTGCATGAAGGAAGCGCTAAAATGTGTTAGATTCTTTAAAGTTTAAAATCAATTAGACTAGCAGCTAAATGTTACTGACAAACACTTTCGACCAGAGAGGAGGAGAAACCAGCCCATGAGATTAGATGCTACATGGGTTTGGATGAATGGATGGACAACCTGCCGATCACTTCAGAGCATCTAGAGATCATGTATTTCATGTCAGCTCACCACTTAAATTTAACACAAAATTAAAAGACATCAAAGAAGTTTATAAACCAAAGAAAAAAGTTTTTTCCTGAGCAGTTATTAATTCATGTCTTTCAAATTACTGTTTGAGTTTGAGTGTCCCATGCTAGGGGAGACTGGAAACAATACTTATTTTGTCAGGGACGTACAGATAGCATGTTTTCTTATCGCACCACATCGTAATCCAAAGCAAAAGGAGAAAAGGCAAGTTAATTTCATGCAGGTTTTGTAAACCTAAGAAATAGAGAGGCAAAGCATAAAAGAGAAGTTAACACCATGCAGTGAGTGAAAGAAAAACAGGCGACGGCTGTTAGAAACAGAAGAATTCATCAGAGAGGCTGGATGACGAAGCAGAGCAGGACTCAGGCAGGTTCGACTAGATGAAGTATTTTTCCTCGTGCGGCCGGAGGTTTACTCACTGTCAGAGGCCTTATCACCTAAAAAGGGCTCCTGCTCCATCATGTCCATGGGGATTTTAATGCTGGGAACATTTTCATTGTAAGGATAGTCAGACTGTTGAGAGAGAAACACACATCCTAAGACAGCACCTCTGTACCCTCTGTAGGTTGTAGCTCACTTAGCATCAGTGAACACACTTCTGCATTCACATCACTAAACATGAGATCACCTTTGTTGTCATCAGCAGTGAAATGTCCCTTCATTTAAAGGAAACATCCAGTTAATAACATATCCACTTGGTAATTCTTGATTTGCGTGTTGTTTCATTTTGGTAATGGTTTCATGTTTTATTAAGAGCAATATAGTCTGCAGGGATCAGGTTGATTGATAAATGTAGGACTTTCAACTGGCAGGATTTTTTATCAGGATTTGTTTAAACTGAAACCTAAGGTTGAGTCTTTGTTTTAGCCCAAGCCACAATCTGGTTTATAAACTCATCTGCAACTATTTTACAACACTTTGATCAGTTTAAACTGTGGAACTTTCTGAATAATAACTGTTAACGTTTAAAGAGGACATATTATACCCCTTCTCCACCTTTTCAAACAGTCACCTGTGGTCTAAATGAAACATCTGTGCTGTGCTTTGGTCAAAATATAACATGGATCAAGCACCAGAGGTTTGTGACCCTGTATAAACCAGCTCTCTCAGAACGCTCCGTTTTGGTGTGTATGTCTCTTTAAATGCAATGAGCTTTCCCGGTAGATATCACTCCTCTGTAGCGAGAATAAAAATGGCGCACCTGCGCGACAGTTTTGTTCTAGACTAGGGGTAGAGTCCATGGGTGGAGATATCAAGGGAAGGGAGGGTTTTTTTTATTTTTTTTACCAGAATCCCACTTGTGATGTCACAACGAGTGCAAATTTTAAACGGAGCATTTTTCTCTGTGTTGTAAGACTTATGCAGACCACAAACAAAGGACAGGATGGGTTTATTTCCCATTTTATGGGTCGATAGACACGACACTCAGGTTACCCAAAAATGTGTACAAAACACATTTTTCATAATATGTCCCCTTTATAGACATAGCAAACCTTTTGAACTTGTGGTTTACATTGTTAACATTGTTAACATGTTGCTGGTGCTGTGAGTAATAGCACGTGTCCAAACGTTTGGACTGGCTTTGAAACATATCCATATGAAAAATTATTTAAAAAAAAATATTTTAAAAAAAGTCCTGATTTGTCCTGATCAGAGGACCTGGCTATAACTACACTTCACCCTAAATTAAAAGCAGATATAACACCATCACTTTGCACAGAAGCTGATATTCACTCAAGAATTGAAGAGGGACAACTTGACTCATTGATTTTGTGTATAATCAATCTGACATTTAAAGCATAAACATCTGACAACATGCTTATGCAACAAAATGATAGCACTTCCTGTTCAAAATAAATAAATCATGTTGCTTCTTCTGAAAATCAGTCAAATAATTGTGTCGACTCCCAGTGACCAAAACCTAAATGGGTGGCCTGTCCATCATTTCCACACAGGAGACATCAATTGATGTTGCTGATGCTGTGACTAATAGCTTCAATTGAAAGTAAAATGAATTTTGATAAAAATATAAGGTAGGGAAGAAAAACTGATGTTAGCAGCTGGACCAATGGGGGAAGTTCTGTAACGTAAAGTCATCTAGGAGCATTATAGAAGCAACAAGCTTTTGCATTATTTCCTGAGATATGTGGGCGTAAAAAATGTCAACAAAAAACTCCTTACGTCTTCAGCGTCGCTGTCTATGCTGCCTCTTTTTTTCTTCTTCTTCTTCTCGTCCTCCTTCTTCTTCTTGTCTTCTCTGGGATGACATCATCCAGGAAGCTGAGGTCATGCTGGGAGAACATGTAGTCCATCGCTTTCCTGACAGCTACTAGAGCCAGGATCTAAAAGTAGAGGTGAATTCATTTGTTGGACATTGTGATAAAAGAGCACGATTACCAATCGGCTCACATTGAACATTTAGTTAAGCAAAAACATTTTCATGTCACTGCTTAAACCGTTAAGGAATATTAAATATGAACTTTCTGTTCAAGGAAAGTTGTACCGCCAATAATAAATACACTAAATAAACTTATATATTCAGATTAGGTCACTGGTTACCTTTTAAATTGATGAAATAAACATGTCTTTAGACTAGAAGTGACAATTAAAGAATAAAGTACAGGGATATAATTTAACAAACTTAAAACAAAGCATAATTAAAAACATTTACAGGTCAAAGAAATCTCATAACATACTTTTATGTGCCAGATTATCAACCCTGAGCAGTAGTTATTTAAAAACACTAAAACAGTCGTCACTTTCTTCACTGGCATACACAATTGTCTCGGTACAAATGATAAGCTTCATGAAAATGTCACAGTGGTTTTGTATCGACATAATTCAATCTGATCAGGTCAAGATGGCTGGAGTAAGTTGCTTTTATCTTTGAGAGCTTTAAGTCATCTGTCCTAACTTCCTTCTCTCATCCTTTGGAGTATAAAGTTAATAGTTGTTTTGGTTGCCTGATTGGTAATTCTCAGCTTCAGGACCAACTTAAATTGGCGTGGTGTTGCTCTAAAGAGCCTCTTACCATGACGGGGAATACAATAGCAGCCACAGTGGACTTGAGGATCCAGAGCAGAGCCAAGCAGAGAATCTGGATGAAGGTGAAGAGGTGGACCTTCCTGAGGGGGACGTGTCGCAGGTAAATCAGGTCCGGCTGATGCTTGGCTGGCATCAGAAGCAGCTTGAGACGATCCATAAACTACGCACACCAAGACGTTCAGAATTAGAAAAAATAATCAATGTTAATAGTTTAAGTTAACAATCAAAATGTATTGTAAATGCAGTATTTACCTGCACTCCATTGAGTGAAGCGACTCCCATATAAAGAAAGACTCCATACAGCACAGGCATGGGGATAAACTAGGTAACACATGGAAAGAAAAACATAGCTTCTGTAAGATACTGTAGCTTTCACAGAGCAATAGAAGAAAAAGAAAACCTTTAAAAATGCTCTACGCAGCCATTGCCGCTCAGTGTTAAAGTTAAAAGTGCTTCAAGCAGAAATATTAATAGTTAATGTGGTGCTCAGTTATCATGTTAATTCCACCTCTCAATATCATGTGCAAAATTTGGTCAGTAAATAATATGATTCAATTCCATGAGGACCACCTTTGTATTAAAAAAATGCGTTCCCTCTTGATCATGAATAAAATTGTTCCTTGTTTGTCTGTTTGGCATATGCACAATAGACATTTTCTTTGTTTACCTCCCACTCAACACAATCTCTCAGAGACGTGAAAAATCTGTGATAATTTACATTTTACTCTGTCTCACTGGAAGTTATTCCAAGCTAAGATGTTGCACTATACTGACCTCTGACGTCCTTACACATGGCCTGCAGGATAGCAGCCAACCAAACAGGTTTGTGAACTTACTGTTAAAGACATAACAGCTAGTTTCCCCCTTTTTTAGACAGATGGTCAAAAAATTGCACAGCATAAACCTAATGATGTATTTTGATTTATTTCAAAGGTTCCAGTGTTTCCCTTAAATACCTCCTATATTTCAATTGTCTTGTAAAGATTAAATTAGAAGGCTAAGGAACAAACTACAGAAACAAATAAAAAGACAATATCTGAATTACCTTTAAAATTGGAGACATAAACACAGATAGTCCTGTCAGGATGAACACAACCACACCAGTAAGCCTCTGTTCCCTGCAAAATAAGAATAATAAGAGGTTCAAAAAACTGTTTTCTGTAATTGTATGGTTTGGACATTTTCAGTCTCTGTTACCAAAAATAACCAAGTCCCCAAAAGTCTAAAACATTTTGTTGACAACATTGATATAATTTTTTCCCAAAGGACATTCGGTTAAAACAAAGCAAAAACAAGCCCAACATTTGGATACAACACTTCACAGTCAGTGCAGATGTTTCACTGGCATGCAAGACAAGAGTTTGTTTGTTCAGCTTACAGCTGACCCATCAGGAGCTGAAGACGGACATCACCAAAAACACTTGTTAGACAAACAGAAACAACTCCACCTCCAGGACAAAACCTAGAACATGTTCACATGTTAACATTTCATAACACTGTTTGTTGTTTATTAACACAGCAACAAAGACCATTTTAAAGTTAAAGCTTAAAGTTCTCATATTATATTCCTTTTCAACAAGTTTTAATACTGTAAGTCTCAGAGCTTCCCAAAACATACCTGTAAAGTTTCTTGTTAAAAATCCACTCTGCTCCTGTATTTTATCATGACTATAAACCCCTCTATTTCAGCCCTGCTCACAACAGGCTGTTTCTGTGTCTGTAGCTTTAAATGCAAATGAGCTGTGTCTTACCACGCCCTTCTGGCAGGGCTTGAGTGGCTAGTAGTTCTGCAAAATTCAGACAATACCAGAGAGAAATGTTACACTTCTTTGATCAAGTGGAGATGATGTAAACTCCCAACTTCCCTGTGAAGTAAATCTGCAGTTTTAAACACCAGAGGCAGAAATAAACAAATCCGGGTCAACAATCCGATTGTTATCTACTGTGTAAATGTTTTTCAAGTTTAGCGTAACTCACAATCCAAATCATCTTATAACAGTTTAGGTCATTACATGTAACAGAGAGTTGGTTTTCACTGCAGAGTTTATGTTTGTGTTAGTTAACAGGACACCTCAAAACTATGTCAGCAAGTTGTATATGCATTTGTGGAAATTCTGCCTGTGGGCTGAAGAGGAATTGAATCATTTTTGTATCAGAAATTAGGACGTGCATTTTTCTTCTCTAGCCAGAAAGACTAATTTCTGTAAAAAAAAGTTTACACCAAATCTCCTTCAACTTTTATGCCACACTTCATCAAACAGTATGGAAAAGTACCAAAAAGACTCCATTGGTGTTTTTCTTTGCCATATTATTCTGCTTTCCAGTGGTATTGGTTGCCAATTTGAAAGCCCAACCCTATTAAGTTAAGAGTTAGTACGAAGAACATCGCTGTGCCATTCTATACATTTGTTGGCACGTCAACTCCAGATGCTGCAAAAAAGATGCGGTTCATTACATTTAACTGGAATTAGTTCACACAAATCCCTCACATTTTGTCATTGTAAATAACTGTAATAATCTCAAAAATGTAATTATCCTAATTTATATATCAAATGAACTCCTCTTATTGGAAAAAGTAAATTTTAGATAAGCATAAAATGGAATGGCTTGTTTGTTTTGGAAAAAGGGGGTAGTTATTCAGTAGTTATTTAATGTCAATGAAAATCAGGGTCCCCCCTTAATGATCTCTATTATCCCCTGACATCACTTTGGAAATCCTTTATAACTTGTTGCTGACATCAGCATGATTATGTATGATAATGTTTATTCTGGTGTGGATGTAGTAAAGTTTTTTTTTTAACATGTTTCTGTTGACAATACTGTATAGTTAATCATATGCACTCATTGTCAAGGTCTTACCTCACACCCAGGAACTTGGGCTGTTCTCCCGGAGCCGAGGTTTCAGTTTCCATCTTCAGACTGTCGATGTGAGCGATTGAGATAACTGTGGCAGCCACGTACCACGGCAGACCCAAGAAGGAGCAAACCACCAGCAGGACTGCCACCCAGAACAGATCCAAGTGGTAACCTGCCCCTTTCTGGTACAGACAAGAAACTCAAGGTCAAACACTGTTTACTATATGTGCACTGTCAGGCTGTGGCAGTTTTAAGAGCTTGGTTGCAGACCCAGGCAATGCCTAATACAATGCAAGAATCTCCAACATTCTCTTTTCATTGGCTTTTTTATGCCATTAAGTAGAGGACAGTGGATAGAGAAGAAACTGGGGTGAGAGAGTGAGGAATGAGGCAAAATGCTGAGGGTGGGAGTCAACCCTGGGCTGTCCGCTTCAATGGCTATATCCTTGTGCGTGATATAATGACTAGGCTTTCTGGCACCTTTCTGCTACTAATGATGTGTTGATCCTTGTCAAAGAGCTGATATCAGAAACATGATCTCTCAAGTTCAGCTGTAGCTCTCTGAGCATCTGATGTAGCTGCTTTTTGAACTGCGCTGTGTTCACTCACTGCCATGAAACATCTCTCACTCCCATGAGAAGAATGACAACAATATTTAACTACAGTGTGAAGGTAGACAGTGTTCAGTACAAGCTGTGGTTTGTAGTGGAGAAAATCCTCACTTCACGTAAATCAGGTGAGATACAAAGAGAGGGAGAGAAGAAGTCTTACTCTTATCATGTAATGAAAATGTTTTTTTTGTCTGTAAAAATCTAAAAATAACTTATATAGATTGTACACAGATTAAAGCAATTTCAAAGCGACTTATTAACACTTCACTACACTACCTCACTAAAAGAAGAACATTAGCTCCAGTATACATCTAAAAAGAACAGTTACTTAGGCATGTTTAAGCCTTACATATTAGGGTTATACATTTCTACCTGTTTAAAAATAAATTGTTTATTAGTGAATGGTCTTTTACCTTCAGCTTGTGCTCCTTCCTGTTGACGATCACAGCAGTAATCTGTTGGTCCATGAAAACCAGGATGGTGACCAGCAGGGCAGGAAGCGCAGAGGCAATGTACACCCACCAGGGGTTTCCGCCGAAAGGGGGCACAAACCAGCCCCTGTGAGGACTTGTTGGCTGCACGGGAGAAAGACAGAAAAATTATTACAATGAATAACTGGCCTTTAGTGTCTTTGATATAGACTGTAAAATGACTGTTCTACAGTACTGTAAATACAAGTAGGAATTTCAATATATATTTTTTGTATTATTAAACTATTATTTTATGAGGGAAGCAGGGAGGGCCTCACCTTGAATTCAGTTGGCACAATGAGTTTTGGAGTATCTACTCCTACAAGAATATCAACTCCACAGAAGATGAGGATGGCCAGAATGATGGCAAAGTCACTGATGAGTTTCCTGACCTGGTGGAAGTGAACAAAAAAAAAAAACACCTCTCTGTTAACTGGCTGTTCCAACATTTGAACACCACATTCATTTTGATAACAGATGAACCTGTCGGATTAGATCAGCTCTGTGTGGCCAACAGTGACTTACAGTGGTGGGGAAGAACGGGCTGCTCTTGAACTTCTTCAGACACATGGAGCAGGTGTAAGTGCCAAAGAACAAGATGAAGGACATGAGGGTGATGTCCGGGACAAAGTCACAGACTTGCCCACCAGCTCCCCTTTGTACTTCAAGCAATCCGTCTTTGTGAGGGACGACCACGTAGCGTTCATTGGCTGCACAGAAACAATGAGAATCTGAGACAGCTATCGAGACAGATGAGTGTCACACAAAGCTCTGCAGATACAAGAGGGGGTTTTTTGAGTGTAAGGATTTGAATGTAACAACTGTCTGCACCAAAGAGGCGGAACGAGCTGGGAGACAACTGCAGCAGACTGTTATAGCTTCAGAGTAGAGTCACAGATTGTCAGAGTAACCTCAAACTGAAAACATTGTGCTTATCGGATGATTCATTTTGCTTCTTTATAGATTGTAACTGAGGTCTTTTGAAGGATGTCAGACCAGAGTCTTCAGTTTGAACGCTGATTGAAGTAAATCTGTAATGTATATGCGGCACACTTAAGTATAATCGAGCCATGGTTCACACAACATGTAGTATATAGAGGAACTATCATATCATATAGAAATATTTTGCATTCCGTACAGCAATAAACACAAGACCAACTCACAAGATCAGTGTTGTTCCAGTACCAGACTGAAGTACCTTCCAAAGGATCGCCAATGATTGTTGAACTATTCTCTGCAAAGACAAGGCAAAACTTCCCTTCAGCACAGGTTTCTAGTGATTTTGAGTCATCTGAAACTCAGCTTTATGTTCTGATACCTTAATGCTTTCTCAGTATATCTGCCATGCATGTTACAATCCCACCGTAATTATAAGTTATCATTGTTATGGGCTCATATAGCCTATGGTATAAGCTAATCTTAGCCACATCAATGAGTGTAGCAAATGTTATGACCATCTGATCTCTTTCTCCTTCTTTTTCTGTTCGTCTATCGAATGTAGCTGTGCATTAAATGCCCCAAAAATAAAAAACCTAAGAATCAAGGAGAAATAATTGGGTCAATAGCTCAATAAAGAAACCAAGAAATGTAATTCATTGAGGCAAACAGCTGGTTTGGCTGAGAGTGGTACAGACAGTATATTTGTGTGTATGTGTGAGTCAGTTAGACAGGTTTTTTTTCAAAGCAAAATTCAGGCTGCCCCTTCTGCATTTCCTATTCTCTATCACAAAAGAGAATTAAACACTTGTGTGGTATTGAAGCCTGAAGACATGGACTGAAAATACAGTTTGACAATCCTGTTGCTTTATGAATGACTTGATTTATTATTTATTGATCGATGTAGTACGTATTGTTAAGGATTGTAGTAGAGTCCTAGTTACTATTTGGATATTTTTGGGTTGTTTTTTTTCTTCTTCTTTATTATCAATTAATTAATTTATGAAATTATTATCGTTGCTATTTGTATGTGTCTTTGCCTGAAAGGCTGGTTGAAAAATTATACTTTGCATTCAGATTTTTTTTAAATGATCTCTGTCATTAAACTGTGCTGGTGATCAATGCTATGTTTGAGGATCACATTAAATTAGAGGAGTAAGATGCTAATCCACTATGACTGTTAAGTGTAATCCATATGTATGAAACTTGTACAAATAAATCTGGTTTACTTGGTTAGTTTTCAGAGAGAACATGTTATAAAACATGGACAAATCAATAGCAATGTGATATTCAGGGACTAAATACACTGTTGACTCAAAGCCAGGATAACAGTATCTAGACTTCAAAGTTAAACCATTTCTCACCGAGGACAGTGGGGGCCATACATAGGCAGTCGTACTGTGTGACATACTCCATCGTAAATTCGGAGTTAATAGGATAATGGTGAGCTAGTTTGAGCATCTTCTTGAAGGCATCATAAATGAAGATGAAGCTGATGAGGCAGGAGAAGCCCTCCTCAGTGAACCGTGTGAAATACTGAACCAGGAAGCTGGCATCAGTGGCCACAAGCACTAGGCATAAGAACGCCGACCACAGACCGATCCACAGCCGGAACTCCAAGTAGTCAAAGTTGTTTTCTCTGGGGGAAAAAAACACAAAATAAATTACTAAATAGATTTGATACAGGGAATACATATTCACTTAGAGAAGAAAGCTGAGATATTTAGCAAAGTCAGCCCAGACGTCATCTTTTGTTATTGTTTTGATTGAGAGCCCGCTGGCAGCAGGATTTACATACTTTGCGTTTAACTAGAACTTTGGAAAACTCAGAAAAGGGGGAGGGTACCTGCTAAAATTAAAGAGCAGCCGTTCAAACACCAGAACAGGACCAGTGCTGCTGAGGATAGTGAGAGGCTGGCCGGCCAGCAGACAAAAAACCCCACCTGCAACTGCCGTTCCCAGAAAACTCTCCAGCACACCCTGCACACATGAAGGGAAAGAGTTAGGGAAGAACTAAAACGGTCTTTTACCTCTAACTTTAATCCTAAACGTAAGGATCAAAGCTCAGTCTGACCTGCATGTTTTCTGTTGCATCTCCCAGCAGACCTCCAAAGGTGATGGCATTTGTCACAGTTCCCAAGTAAATAAACAAGATGGCTGACAAGGCCTGAATGTGAAACGCGTCGGTGAAGTCACTGACAAAGAAAGGCGCTTTTCTTTTTATGTCAAGTAATAGACCCCCACAGAACCTGAAAACAGAAACACAACATATGGGTTGTTTTTGGAATACCAAACAAAACATAGAAATTATTGTATTCGTGACACTGCAGTCAAACCTAGGGTCATGCCACACTCAGGTTCAGTCACGTAGTCAAGAAAGAATAGTGTGTTTTAATTTTTTAAATATCCACATTTTTACTCTGGTATGTGCTTGACATAAGTTACATTCTAGCTTTGCTTTACCGAGGTTTATAGGTCATACTTTTGTTGGTTGACACATTTATCAATGGTTATAAAAAAAAACTACTATTCAAAAATTCTATATTCATTAAAAACATGAAATTATAGTAATGAATCAATTAAGAAAATGTTGATTTTATTAACTGTTTGATACCTTCCGGTCTTCTTAAGCTCGTCCCCTACAGCGTGTCCTCCTCCTCCTCCTCCTCCTCCTCCATGCCCTCCGTCATGAGGCATGTCTCCGTTCATCTGAGAGTCTCCTCCTGCATACATGTTTTTCCTAAAATACACAAACTTGAGTATCAGTCTACTAGGCTCATAACCTCATATATTAATAACTTAATTCATTAAAGAGTTTTTTCAAAGCAGGTCATAGGGTCTTGTGTTGCCTTTTTGTCTGAGTGAGCTGCACGAAATAAACTGAAATGCTCTGACTTTACCGATTTAAACTGTGTCTTTAAATAAAATCCACTGCTGCTGCTCAATAATTGAACGCTGTGCTGTACTTATGGACACACTTCAGTGATTTTGCAGCTTCTGCTGAGCTGTACGATAATGTAGTTACTGCACACACAGCATTTTAAACAGGTGGCTTCTTAAATGTTTGATGTCGGGTCGAGTTGTTTTCCATCAATTTCTGTTTGTTTACCATGTTCTTTAATCTCCTCTTGTATTGATACTGTAACCACTAACTTTTTTTAATCATCGGATCCTGTTACTGATACTAGTTACATTTAGTTTGCCATTTAGCTTTACACAACCACACTACATAACACTGGTTAGACTATAACTCTTGTTATGCAGTACATATGTGGAGGTGCCTGAATTTGTCTCAGCTCAAACATGCATGTCTTCTTCACTGCAGTCTTTGCTCTGTGTGCATGTCGAGATGGATTTAATAAATAACCAGAAGACTTGTGCGCAGCCCGAGGGTCTTGTAGAATCAGTGAACAGTTGTGGGTTCAGATTAGATCATAACAGTGAAATCTCTTAAGTGGTTACACCTCTAGGCTACAGTCACTTCACAATCCTCTTAAAGCTTTTACAAACAATTTGACATTTATCAAAACAGTGTTCACAGATAGGGAAGTTATATTTTCTCATTCTTAAACCTCTAGTTCTAGTTTCTAGTTCTCTCTAAAGTAACACTGCAGACGGCTTGCTATAAACATTTTTCTCATGATGATGATTATTGTTCGTTTTTTAAGCTGAGACAAAGCAACAAAGCGCAAGCTCAAAAGTTGGAGTTGTTGCCAGACCTTTTGTCAGAGGAGGGGAGTGATTTTGGAGGCTCTATCCTGATGGCCGGGTCCCATTCTCCAGGAGGAAGCACGATCACTTCATCCAGGAACTCGTCGATACCGGCCAGCAGGTCTTGTCTGTCCTTGGCTTTATACGCAATGTCATGAAAGACCTGAACACAAACATACAGAGTGAGGGGACGAGGCAGTCAATTGTTAAAGAGGCCTGTCAAATCATGCGGTGTCACCAGGCAGCCATCTGTGATATCAAATATGACAATCAAGTGGAAAAGAGAATGAGATCCTATGACTTTCTAACTTTATTATTGGCCTACAGTTTGACTCTGAGCAAAGTATTGCTTAAAAAACAAAGAATTCATAGATTGGGTATTGTGCTGAATTGCATCGAGCTGCATGTTGTTCCTCCTGCATTGTCTTACTCCCTGTTCTGGAACAAGCTTAATGAGGCTTCAAGTGTCAGAAATTAGACAGTAATAAAGTCAAAGATGAGGTGTGGTATTGGCATACTGACCTCGTCTGACATCAGCGTCGCGATGGCTCTGCCGATCTCATGGTACGACTTCGCTTTGCCTTTGGGTCCAAGCAAGATGAATAAAAATCTGCAAACAGAGCAAAGTTGTTCCTACTGTAAACTATGGAAGTGATGGGGTATCTGAAGAAGACAGCTCTTCAATATAATAACCAAGTAGAAAAACAAAAACGTCCCACCCTCGGCCTCCAAGTTCATGGTCATGTATTCATCACGTGGCGTCACACCTATTTTGGAACCGCCCACCTGGAGGGCAAGAAAGGCTCTCTACCACTGTACTGAGAAGTTAGTGGTCTCAGTTGCCCCCTACGTGTTTTTATCTGTTTTATTTTTAAATTTTTCAAATGAAATACAGTTGTTGTTTAATATGATACACTAACCAACGAGGAGACGAGCCCGAGTTTTGCTTCTACAGAATTTAATCTGAGAAAAAAAACAGAAAGGAGGACGTTTTTGGATAAATGCAGTTAGACCCTCCGCGACCCTCTGTGACGGGAAACATCGGACATCTCCTCATCCTTAAATCAAATATAGGCTAGTGTTGACCAAAGCTAAATATTCCTGCCGTTAACTCAAATTACTGCCCCAGAACACTAAGATTGACAGCTCACGCTATCGCTAGCTAACTAGCTATGTTAACTTATTAGCACTCACCGGTGCTTAATGATGAGGTATTTCTTGTCCTTCACTTCTCAAACAGCAGCATTATCGACCCAGACCGATCAACAATACATAAAGCTGCTTGTATGTTTGTAGACGTTCATCCTACAGCGGTGTAAGGAGAGGGATTCTCCTCGCAATATCAGTGAAGTGAAGTTCTGGTGTTATGGTTAAAAGAGTGACCATGTTAACTGATGACTTTCAGATAAACGCGACTGAAAGTGTCCTAACAAATGCCTCTTTGTTCCGTTTTTGTATTATCATAATGTCAAAATTACTTATGAGATATTTTTTAATGAAAGCTAAACAAATAGGCTTTCGTTAGGACACGTAACGTACAACAACCAGACTCACTCGGCTGAAAGTCACCAGTTAACATGGTAAACCTTTTAACCGGACTTGGCCGTTTCTAGCGATATAAATAGCGTCCCGTGTGCTGTTAAAGTATCGCAAGTTGCCCAAACTCAAAGTTTATCTTATCTTAGTTTTGCTAGGGTTGTCAGGTGATGTAAACATGTGTCGTTTAAAGTAGATGTTAAATAAAAGCCCGGGCTGCAGATCTTCAGGGTTTTTTTGCCCTCCAGCCCTCCGCTCTGGTGACGTCACTGGAAGCTATGAATTGCCAGAGAAATTACTCACAACTTATAGATAGAAAGTAACATTTAGGGATGGAAGGACCTGTATGATGTGTCCCATAAGAAAGCTCTTGTTATTCACAGCTTTCTAAACTGAGGACATGTTTAATGAAAGCACTTAGATTTACTGTCAATCTGAAAGCAAGAGTCTGCTTCATATACCAGACATCCATTCTATAAGTACTTTACAAGCTATAATATAACAATGTAATCTTAACAGCTGTTTACATTTGTATGGTCATAAGGGGGAAACATTTCCTCATATGTCCTCATAGCGAAGAAATTCATTAAAGAAGTTTTTATATGCAAAATGCAATGTCAATGAGACCATTCTTGGAAAGTTCCCTCAATGAACTGAAAATGAAATGTCTTAATGGCACTTTAGTCACATGAACACCACAGGTAGACGACACAACAAAGCAGTGTTTTCAGAAACTAATCCAGTCTTTCACATAAGCCCTGCAGAAGATTTTACCTCTTATTATGTTAAGCTGATAAAATTCTGTAAAAGTAAAAGTTTTGTATGTTAATTCAATTTTGGAGTGTTTTAATATCTTTAATTTCCTTTTTATATATAACAATAATCTAAAGCGAACACAGGAAATACGTAATATGTATACCTGATTATGTGATGCATTTCATGTTTAGTTCTAGCAAAGTCATTGTGTCTATCCTTTGAATGACTCTTTTCTATTAAACTATGCCCCCTAACACATTTAACTTTCTCTGTAGAAGTTTAGAAGTTCAGACATGAATCTCAGCTACCTTGTAGGAACAGGAACCTCTGTTAAGGCTCCCAGCATCACAGCTTGCTGCAAACGAACAAACGCCACAAACGGCGAGTCTAAGAAGTCCACTTCCCCCACCAGCACATTGGAGGCCTCCGCGTCTCTTGGCAACTTCTTCATAAACTTGTTCCGCAGCTAAAAGCACAAAAGAGAAGAAGAGTTGGAGACATTTCATTTTATGTTCACACCAGCAAGCCGGTCATTACAGCGCACATTCAATTAGACAACCTATATCAAAAAGGACAATCCCATTCATCCGAAATACCAAACCAGGATCTCCTGTGGTGTGAAAATTAGGCTGTATCTCTTTCTGTCACACTGATGAGGAGGTGCATGTATATGGCATTCAGATGCCTGCTGAGCTAACACAGGTTACACAGTTTACACGACAATAATGCCTTACAATGGTGTTTCATTATCTTCACAGACTGACTGACAAAACTGATTCAAATGAGCGTTTTAACATCTTACCGTAAATGTATTGTAGACATTTAAAATTCTGATGTGAAGTTTGACAAACAATATTAACATGTACACAAACAAATAGAGCTGTAATGTTTTTAAACTTTCAGCTTCTATATTCAAGACAATTCTTCTCAATTTATTTTCCCTGCTGAAAAATTCAAAGTGAAATACAAACTTCCATGGGCCCCTCCAGGTAAATATTATTGTTATTGTTATCTGTTATCAGGGGTGTCTTCTGAAATAGTGTTAAAAATGAAAGGAGATCAAGAAACACCTTTTTCCCGTAACTTTTTTAGGACATTTGTTGTAGAGAAATGTGAAACCCCGTCTCAAACAGTTAATGAATATGATCCATAAATAACAGAATCTGCAAAAGATAAATCTCCTGATGGTCAAATGTAGAAAAAGAAACTAAACTGGGCAACAAGTCAAGAGAACGGAGATTGGATGATGTTAAATTTGGCATTATCAATCAGGATTTAAATAGATTAGATCAGAGTGAACACTGACATTTCCCCAGGTCAGAGTGAGGCCAATACCAAACATTTTATGTAAAAGTAGATTTTTTTTATTTTTAAATATGTGACGTAAGAGCAGTTTTGTAACTTTGATATGAATTCAGTACATCAAAATCATTAAATACAAATAAGCACAAATGGTTAAAACGTAGAGTTGCCCTAATTTTTCATATTCCTTTTTTATCCTTCTACTTTAGGACCAGCCATTAGTGAGGGAAAGAAAGAACAAAATGGAGACAGACTGTCTGTGGATCACTTGTCATCAATCTTAACATCCCCAGATCATGCACTGGCAAAATCCCGCTGTCAACCTTTGAAGACTGAAATCCTATAAACTGGTGACCTTCAGCTGGCAAGATTCATACAGATCCAATCAAAGGCTGTTGAGCCGTGTTAGCGTTTGGTTTGTCTGTAAATGATTAAGTGGTGAGGTTAAAGCTGCATTAAAAATGCAAACCATGTCTGCTCACTGCTAATCCACACTAGACTAGACTGCCCTTTTAAACTGAAAGCATACTAGACAATCAAATCTGTCCAGTTTGGTTGTGAACATGAGGCTGATACTCATTTATGTCATTCATGTTTTCATTGTTTTTGTAGAGTAGCAGGCTGCATTGGGATTGGGATCCAAACACAAATCTCCTGGGAGTGTGCAGTTTTAAAAGGTGTGCAGGTGGAGCAGGCAATCACAAATTTCCTTGTAGGTCCCTCATTTATCTAGTACGCAAAAAGATGGAATCAACAAATAATGTGGAAATTAGGGTTTAAACCTGTGTTGTACAACAGGCATGAATCTGGAACCTTTTGGTTTAGACACATCAGTCAGCTACACTCGTTTATGTACTTAACAAGTAAAATTAGGTATTGAATGCATATATAACACAAGATAATCAAGATTAACAAATGACACAAATAAATCATACAGTCTACTAAGGATTGCTGTCGAGGAAGAGAAGTTTGCTGATCAAATCTGGTCCTATTGATCAATACAGGCCCACTGTGTCTTTCTTTTCTGATAAAAGATGCAGCCGCCGACACTAAATGCCCTCTCTGACAGCGCACTATGCAGGGATACTATGCAGGGATACTATGCAGGGATACTCAGCATGAAACGTGAAAGCTTTGAAAGAGCAGCTGATAGCTGGCCTGAGCCTCATCTGACTGCATCAAAAGGCTGTGAAAACGTGGCCATTATTCTCAGGACAATGTTACTTATGAGAATGTTACCAATAGGTAATGTTTACCAATAGGTAAAATGTAAACATGGGGAGAGAAAATTGCTTCTTTCCATGTAATAATTTGTATTATTTATTGCATAAATTCAGACTTTTGTGATAAGCTTTAAATATTTAGTTTTATATATATAAACAGTATTGTGATTTCAATAAACCTGTGATTTATTGTGCAGCACTACTTTAATGTAGACCTTAAGACGGTTTAATTAACTATGCTTGAGTAGATATGAGATATTGTAACCCAAATCCATAATCAGCAGCTTTATTGGGAACAATAATGTAAAGAGTAGTTTTACTGAAAACTGGTCATAGTTTGTTCTGATTGATTTCAGTGGATTTTTGTTTTTAAGTGAAGTTTTTAAACTTTTCAGCACTATAATTAAATTGATATTTACTTCAATAATTAAAAGAGGTGAAACAACGTTCAAAATGAATGTTTAAATACTTGAGGCATTGAAACTAAAGTGTACTGTAAACTGTTACTGTACTACTCGACATGTGGCCGCTGTGGAGATGATCACTGCATGCAGGCCCACAGAGGGAACCTTATAAGTGGTATTTATAGGCTGAGTGGGTGAAAAAGAGTTTTAGTTTAGGAGATTTGTTTCCTGTCCTGTTACCTCTTTACTCTACTTGTCCCACAGGAAGTCTTACTGGGTAAGTCTGACCTAATTCTCTTCTGCCAGAGGACCGGTCTGACATGAGACTAAATTAATAAAGAGGTTTATATAAACAGTGGTAATCTAAATAAACAGCAACACGTCTAAATATTAATAAGGTGAAACACATTTTCTTGTCACATGCGGACATTTCAACTACAAGTGCTGCTCCCTGCAGAGGAACATGATCTGAAAACTAATTTCCTTTTCTGCTGATCCAATTTTTGTAAAGTCACAAATCCACTCAGAGCCTAAAATGAAATGTGATTTTAGGGATTGAATAGGGAAGAAGTCCCAATCAAAGCTGAACATTTTGGAGTTTTTACCCCAGGATTGTTGCTTGTAGCTACAGAAATCTATCAAACATTATGCTATGGGATATACTGAATAAACTACAATATTATATCTGCTACACTGTCACTCAACAAAAAGCTATGTTGTGATTTCAGAAACATTCTATATAAGCAAAACGGATGAGTGTTGTTTCTACAAATGCGAGAAGGCAAACACAATCATGGATATCATATAATGTGCATTACAATACTGTATCTTTTTCCCATTCATCACTGATTCATTTATGTTTTATATTTCCTATTTAGTAACCGGTTTCTGAAATACAGGGCTGTAATCTCCCTTTTTGGGCACTCCAAGCACCTGTAACATATATCCCTGAATAGACACTCTTTTTTTCCATTGCACATTATGTTTTGTGTTAACTTCCTGTGCCTGTTTTAGTTTTGATTTCTCTGTCATAGCATATGGTTTTTACATTTTCTCCGCTGTTATCCTCTCCTTTCTCCTTTCTCACGGTCATCACACAGACGTCAAATTAACTGGACTTTTTTCCACGTATTGACATGATTACAGTTAGTCCTCCATTGTCTGATAAAAGCTTGACCCTAGCAACCGCCTGCTTTTCCTAGTAACAGTGTGACCTATCAAGGGATAGCCGACTGTTGCTATAGGTAATTGACCAATCAGAATCAAGTATTTAACACAGCTGTTTAATTAATGTCTATAACAACCAGGGTTGTCACAATCCTCTAAAGCTTTGGTTTGTTTTGGTTTTCTCCTTGATAATGATTAAATTAGATTTTCAGTCCAAAAAACATTAGCACTGACTGCTATGCCAGTAAACACATTTAATTGCACCACAATTTCCCACTCTCTTTATAAATTGGATGTTAAGACAGGGAAAATGCATTTTTTTAAATTGCTAAAAATATGCAAATAATTATCCAGAGGGAAATGTAAAGGGTAAACACATTACCAGGGAATCACCAGCAACCACAGAGTACAACAACAAGACAACGAAGTCATGGAAGTATTCAGCTCACCTGTTCTTTTTCTGGTTTGTCAGAAATGTCGTTCAGGCTGCTGGAGGTCAGGTTCTTGTGAGTTGTGGTGGGACTATCTGTTCAAACATATCAACTCTGAAAAGTTAGAGCAGCTTCACTTCAACACCAAGAACTAAGAACTGGATGAAAACCAGGGATGGCAGAGACCCATGAAAAGACAGTGGCCCAGACAGTTTGCTCCACATGCAGCACCCAAAAGAATCAACAAGCAAATTCTTAAAGCGATCCGAAAAAGACAATCACTGACAGAGATTGTTCACCATCAACCCAGGACTGCACAAGAGGAAAAATCTCATACCACTCCACTATGGCTGGCTAAAAGATACAAATATTGCATTTCCATACAATGTGTTAGAAGCTTAAAACTTTAAGACTGTTGCTGCTTCATTCAAACTAACAAGCCAGTCTAAAAACAGTAATTAGAATTTAAAGAAGCTGCACTGTTTTCTGAAAATAATATAAGGCACCGCTATTTTCATGTTTGCAAATACGGAACTAAAGCATCTCTCAATGCAATTTAAAGTGTATGCTAAACAGTAGGACAAAACGTTTCTGATAGAGCATTAAAACTCCACATATTAACCAGAAATTACAGAGCGGTTACAGATTGGACCACTTTATTCTACTGGACTAGTGAAGTTATTATTCCTCAAACATTATTCTCTTGTATTTTTTGGCTTATACTTTCTAATGTCTATCCTTAGTCTGAAAAAATATATCAAAAGCTTCACTGTTAAGTGTCCATCTTTCCCATGAGGGTCTTTCCCTAAGTGCTTTCCTCACAGAAGCAGGTCGACGGCACACTCTGATTGACACTTTGCTGACTTTTGGTTCCACCTCGTCAACTTCAGCAGCAGAGAGCTGACAGCAAGAACGTGACCTTACTTTAGTGCTGCAGCTGTTCGAGATAAGAGGCTGTGTCCAGAGAGACGCAAATGAGAGCAAATTCTGATGCCACTGTGGTTCAGGTTCATACATCTGCACCCTGAGCATTCTGGGTAATAACATGCTTGTCAGTATGATGCAGCCAGTGGGAAATAATATGCCTGATATAGGCCTAATAAAGTTTCTAAGGTTTTGAGCTAAAAAAAAAAAAAAAAAACCTCTGAAATGAATAAATAAACCACTTGCGACCAAGGATGCACACACATTAGTTCTACTCTACTTGATACATTTAGTCTAATTGACTGATGTGTTCACATTTAACACAATGTTTTTGTAGTTCCTTTGTTCAAACTGCAGTTTTCAAGTTCCAGTTGGAAGTAATCCAATCGTTGGACCAAACAAAAGTAACGTAATCACATTTTTGTAATTTCTCTTTGAGCCACACGGATTGGATACGTGCCAAAAAGTTAGATACTGTAGCATCTGAGAGAAATTAAACATTCATAAAATATAAATATCATTTTGATGTCTTGGTAGATTCACAGAGCACATTTTTTAAAAGGTAAAAAAACACCAGCTCTTTTGTACTTTAAAATATGCCTTAATTAAGTCCATAAAGAAAGAATAAAAGCTGTGCTTTTTAGTACAAACACAAGCAGAGATTTTCTACTGATCCTTGGTCTGCAGTTTGTACATGAACTGAGTCCAGTGAACTTACTAAGCCAGTCCATGCTGGAACTCCTTTGGCTTTGCAAGTCCTCCATTGACATACGACCTGACAGGCAGGTCACCGAGTTGTCAAGAGGACTGCGAGCTTTTAGTAGCGGCAGAAGGTTATCAAATCCAATCCAGAATAGCAAGAAAAAAGCAGGGAAAAGAAGCAGAAGAGAGAGTTGACAGGAGAGTATAATGATAAGCCCACTGATCCAAAGGAATAGCATTGTTAGTAGAGCAAAATCAAGTGTTTAAGAGACATGAAAACATGATTGATAAGTATTTCTAAAAATTAATCAGAGAAACTGTGAGGTGTGAGGAATGACATTGTTAAATCAGTAAACCATGAGTCATTGGACAGGGACGCCTCAACAGGAGTCAAATGACATGATCATAAACTAGTATGTGTTGAGCCTTTTATGTCAGTGATCCTGATAAGAGCATGAAGAAAAAACACAGGTAGTACATTTCAGGCAAAAATCATTAGCAAGAAGTCCAGTTATTTTTAATTTAGGCATAACAGTGCTATCATATGCTGATCAATATAAATATTTTGGCTTCACATTGGATGAAAACATGACTTTTAAAGAAGCTGTGAGTGTTTTGACTCAGTCAGCTGGTCGAGCTCTGGGATCTGTACTGAACAAAGTTAAACACTGTGGTAATCTGGGATTTCAGATTTATACACAACTCTATCATTCATGTGCGTGTCCAGTGTCTGATGTCTGGGGGTTCCCGGAACATCTAATTTGCAATTCTGTACATCAGAGAGCTCTGAGGTCCTTCTTGGGAGTCCATAAATTAACGCCAGTCCTCGCTGTGAATGGAGATATGGGATGGGAGCCTCCAAACATCAGACATAAATGTGAAATGCTTCGGCTTTGGAATAGACTTGTAAAGATGTCGGATCAGAGACTCACTAAAAAGATTTTTATTTGGGATACCTGCCATTGCCACCCATGGGCAAAGGAGATAAAATCTGTATTCCATAAGAATAATATGTCTTTTATTTTTCTAAATAAGTTAACTTGTGATATTCAGGAGATAAAAAATAATATTTTTCTAATGTACAAAGAGAAATGGTCTGTGGATATATGGTGCAAACCAAAACTAAGAACGTATTGTCTCATAAAGGATTGCTACAGCGTAGAAGCCTATGCTAAATTTAATTTAACCAAAAGACAAAGATCCCTCTGCGCTCAGCTACATTCAGCAACATTGCCTTTAGCTTTAGAGGCCGGCAGGTTTAATTTACATTCCAGAGGAAGACCGAGTTTGTTTGTTGTATGAGTTAGGAGAAACTGAAAACAAGATTCACTTTTTGTTTTACTGCCCGATGTATGCTGACATCAGCGATGTTCTTTTTAAAAGAATGTCTTCAATTTATGTTGATTCCTTTTGGCTAGACGACTATGAAAAACTTGAGTTGTGTTTTAAAAAAGGAACCTTTGTAATAGCAGATTTTGTTTGTAAAGCCTGGGAAAAAAGACATTATTACATTATTTAAGACTGAACTGTGACAGGCGCTGGCAACTTTGTAATGTTATGATTTGGAAATGTGAACCACTGCAACTGAATTCTTTGGTGTCTTATAAGCCCATGAGGGTTGGGCACTTGGTGTGCATGACACGAAAATAAATTAATCAAATCAAAAAACAAAAATAAGAGGCTCAGACTTTTAATTGGGTCTAGCTTCTTTTTAAAAACTGCAAGACAACAGCTCATAAACATTAAGAACTTTTATTATGATAGTCATAGACCAGTTTCATAAAATCTGATATCATGTAATAAATCATTTAAATGTCCAAAGACTCATGGCTCTTAATAGATCAATAACATATTCAACACAACTTCAATGTGTAACTATCAGTTCAGGTATAGATATCAGTTTGTGTTAGGGCTGTCACTTCGCCCATGTTGGAAACTACTCATGTTTGAAAGGTTACTACAGACATGTTATTGTATAAACATGTTGTATGTACAGTGTTCTGTGTTATTCTTGTCTGAGATAACTCTTGGTGAAGCAAAGTGACAGCCCACCCTCTGTGATAATTGAAATGTAAAGAGGATTAACAGTTCAATGACGTTAGATCTTGACTGCTGCAAGCACTAATCTTAATCTCTTAGTATAAAAATTCTTGGAAATGTTTGTACTAATTCCAATGGACAAGGAAAAATAATCAAATCGTTTAGTGTTAAAATATTAAGCTGAGGACCATTTTGAAAAGTATCTCAGCTGTGCAGTTAGTCCAGTTGCCAACAGTAAGTGCATACAAAGTGTTGTTAGAGTGATAATACCAAATGTTTCTAATGAATTAGCGTAAGACATCTGAAAGCTTGAGTTGACTACTTCAATTACAGGTTTAGTAGTATTAACATGAAGGATTTTGAGTTTACACCTTCATGATTTAGTATAAGGGGCAACATTTTTGTTATGTCTCCAATGAAAAAGATGTTTTGGAGTCTGTTAAGGACACATTGATGGTTACATGGAGAGGATGGCAGAAGTGCATACTTTATCGCACACTTGGGCTTTCTTTCAAAGCCCTCAGAACTCATAATAAAGATTAGGTCTTATGTTGAAGTTACAAAGTCAATCTACTGTATGTTTTTGATCAAATTTCTTATGGAGTTAAAGAGCCAATTTTTTTCTTCACTATGTGTAAAAAAACAAAAAAAAACAAAGAGGAGACTGCACCAAACTGGCATCAGTATTACCGTTTTCCTGGTTGGTAAACAGCCTACTTGCACTGGAGACTGTCTTTCCAATGTCAGCCAGAGAGCGTAGGTTTGACTTCTTGGTCTGATGACGGTGTTTCCGTAGCAACGTGTACATTACTTTGTCCTTCAGCTCTGGTTTCAGCTGGCCGATCTCAATCTGGTTGTCAGTGATCAGCTCTGAAGATGCAGAGAAGGAGGGGAAAGGATGAGGATAAATGATTTCAGTCATTAATCATCCAGCAAGAAAATAACAATACACATTCCTTCATTGTAACAATTGTCAAATCTGTTGGGATAATCATTTTCTCATCTTGAAGACGACAAAAGAGAAAAGATGAGTCTTCAACGGCGCTTACAAAAAAATAAACAACTCAAGAGTGGGGTCAGATTAGATATGAAGTGGTAAGCTGTTCCATGTTCCCGGTTCGGGGCAATCATGCTAAGGCTCGATGGCCCCTGGACCAGTAGTTTTAGTTACATCCAGGAGCAGCTGATTGGTTGGCATGAGCATTCTAGCTGGAGTGTGAGCATGGCTATGTTCAGGCAGTGCCAATCCATTAAGAGCTTTGAAAGTCATCAACAAAAATTTTAAATCGATCCTGTAACAAACAGGAAGCCAGTGGAGGGAGAGAGACACAGGTGTTAATGTGTCTCTCTTTTTCTTAACAGTAAAGAGGCGAGGAGTATTGAACTGTAGCAGACACCGGATGGATTTCTTATCCAAGCCCACAGACAAAGAATTACAGTAATCAAGTCGAGACGCTATAAATGCATGGATCACCCTCTCTAAATCTTTAGGAAGGAGATAGGCTTTTACTTTAGCTATAAGCCTCAACGGATAGAAGGTGGACTTAACAGAAGAAGTCTGCTTGTCAAAATTGAAAACACTCTGGAAGCAAAAAATACCCTTTTGATTCTCGTTAGGACTCAATTTGTTCCTCCCAGAGTGTGATTCTAATGAATGAAAGTGGCATCATGAAACAGCTCAATCAAAAAAGGCCTTGACTATTACTTTAAAAAAAAGATAGATAGCAGCCCTGAGGGAGTTTCTCCTCGTGTGGGGGGTTTAGTGCTGTTAATGTCCCATCCATCAAGTCACCAAGCCTCAAAGCAAGAGGCCCAGCTCCGTTCAGCCTGTACACTCCATGCAGCACACTCAATTACTTCCCATGAATCACTCGGAGCGGTGAGTCTCCCTCCTTCTCCCTCATGCAAACAGAAACGAGGTTTGGCTGTCCTCAAATTAGGAAGTTTTTGTAGGACCATTTACCAACTATTATTTGCATGCCTCACTCTCTTATAAAGTACAGTTCAGGCTGGACCTCACAGAGCTGTGGCCTTTTATTCCTCTTAAAACAAAAGCCTCTGACCCCTGTGTGTGATGTGTGCAAGTCCATTAACCTGCACGCAACACCACAGACCAGCCTCTTTGTTCACTGTACATCACAGAGCACATCTAATCAAACTGACGGAAGGGGTTTTTTGTACAGGCAGGACGATGCTGACCTTTATCAATGTCATTGTATCAAACAACAACAACAACAATTTACTTGAAATAAACGATGTGTAGGGGAAAAAAAGGAATGATCATGCCATAGTAAATGGAATTAAAGTTCAAATGAATTTATAAGTGATAATTCAGTTTGTAAATGTCTTGGTTTGATTGAGTACACGGTAGTATCTCCCATGATTTTAAAAGTTATATGGGGTGATAATGAGCCTTAGAAAAACTATAATATTCTAAGCTTTAGTTTAACAAATGCTCTATATATAATTTTTCTTATTACTCTTCTTCCATCTCTTTCAGTCTCTTCTAATAAGAAACCAATGAGTGGTGTCTGTGCAGCCTTGTTTTTTCAACGTAATCATGGAAATGTTGATGAACTTTTCATCTAGTCACACTAACCCAGTTATTGAAGCTACCTACATGGAATTCAACACTTCTATATTTTCCCATGTCACCTAGAAACCCTTATAAATGAGGAGGTGGTGTTGGGGGGGTTCAACATAAAAAGCTCCAACATCAAATCATGCCGCCGACTTACGACAACCTGAGGCAGAGTGGACGCCTCCATGTCCAGCATGATGGTGCCTTTCTCTATGCACGTGCGCAGTTCAAAAAGGCTGTGTAAGGACAGTGTGGCCACATGGGGTTTACTCCAGCGTTCACCTCCTTTCTCCACTTTCTCCTCAAACTTGATCCATCTGGAAGGATGAAAAAAAGGAGTGTTACAGGCACTGATAGAACATGTTAATATTTAGATTTCTTTTTTATTTTATTTTAAAGAGCTGGTCTGACTTGATACAATTAAAGCATCTCAAATTGACTTCGAAGCAAGCACATCTTGCTGTTGATGTTTGAATGTGGATATATATTTTTTCAAATTATCCAATTATGTACCTTTTTCTCATTTTTCAGTTTGTTTCAAAATATTAAATGTATTGTCTGCCTGAAGCAGTGCATTGGTGCAGCTTTCTGTCTGGGCAAACATATTCTCAAATGGGTTTTTAGAGACCCTATTTTACGGTTTGAGTTTAAAAAGGACAAATAAAATGAACTAAATTAAATTAAATGTTTGAAGCTACATCAAAAATCTAGCAGTTCAATTGGCAACTTTATGATACACAACCCAAAATAAAGCCCTCTGAAGCCCTGATATCTTTCCTTTTTCATTAATGTATTCTTTTAATCAGTCACCCTCCTCCCTCCCTCGGAGTCATAGAGATGAGAAACTCAACTAGTACTGAGTTGATTCAATAGCAGGGTTTTTCTTTTGGTCCAGTTTGGCTGCCAACATTGTACTGGGCCATCAGCCAGTACTACCCAGCACCTCTCAGATCTTGAGTGCACTTGGTAAGACAAATCAGACAGGATCTGAATCTCTGCAGCTATTTGCAGAGTTATGATTATGAGATTCAAAGATGCAAGATTAATTTAATTTCCCTTATGTCAGAAAATTATAAGTATTTAAACACTACTAAATGGTTTGAAACTGATGTTGTCTTTTAGCCTTTCTAACCCGTCTTAATCCCCTTCACAGTTTCTTAGTTTTTTTATTTTCCCAGTGGTACTTCATTCATTCATTCCTCAGGGGTTGAAATTCATGATGTCAGTTAAATCTGATCACGAATCGATCCATTTTAGTGAAGACATTGTCTTGGTATTCCCCTGTATGCTGACTATAATAATCTGGAGTAGTGACAATAAATTCTATTTTAACCTAGTTGTACCTAAAAAACAATCCCAGGTAGATTAACGTTTTTCTTGTCAGTTTGTTTTTTTGTAATAGAGTTTTTTCCAGTAAACCTAACAAGATCAGAAACATAATTTCCCAACCCACTGTGTGGGACAGCAAAATCCTCTCTTAAAATAATTTGAATTTTGACTGATATGTGATGAAAGTGACATTTTGAGTAAGTGATTCAGTAAAAGCCTAATGCTGGACCTTTAACTTCTCAATCTAGAAAGATTTATTATCTGTGAATAATATTGCTAAATGCTTAAAATGTCTAGATAATTTCACTTGGAATAATTGGACTTTTAGAGTTCCTTTGAACAAATGTAATTGCAGTTTTAGAGCATACAGAGAGTCAGTGATGAAAGCATTCTTAAGTAAAGGTTCTGTGAAAATCATTGCACCAACAGTGAACCAAAATGTACCGTCTATCCGAAGTACAGTTGGTCAGAGGTTAAGATAACAAATCAACTCATTTGGTGCCTGAAACAGCAGCCCAGGCCTCCAGTTTCCTACTCAAGAGAGCTTCACTCATCCACGCTAATGATGCACAAACAATCATCCCATCTCTATCCCATCCCAACCCACTAGTGGGCCACACAAAGGGAACCTGTGGAGCACTGTGTGCTTGCCTTTTGTGCTGCTCCAAATTCAAAGCACACAGCAAGCTTCCTACTGTTAGTTGAGTCTTACAAATGTTTGTGCAGTTACTTGACTATGAAATGGTTGTCAGTTATCTAACGCATCAAAAGCGAGTTTATTATATCCTGAAAATAAACACAAAGATTTTTGCAGTGGAGATGATGATGAGACGATGGAGATGATGATTTAATAATCAACTTGTATAACTTTTATACTAACTGACTGACTGAGTGAAAATTAATTGACGACATCAATGACTTTAAAACCAAAAGATATAGATACAGGAACCCTGCTGAAAGAGATCCAAAAGAATTAGACTAAGCTGTTACCTGGCTGTTTCTTTCCACTCCATCTCCTGTCCATCCACTGACAGGAGCTCATCCAACTCAGTGAAGAGTTGTGGGGGTGCTGGGCCATCATCTTCCTCCCCAAGCATGAAGCGGATCCTCTCGGCTGCTGGTGAGACTGAGGAGAGAGTAAAAATACTTTGGTTCACAGGTTGAAACTGGTGCCCGTTGGGCAAAGGTCCGGGCACCGGCTTCCCCTCCTCAGGTGAACCCTTTCCGTTGAACTCAGGAGGAGGTGGAGGCGGAGGGATTTTCACCATGACCTCCTCTTCTTTCTCCTCCGTGTCTTCTTCCTTTTCCTCCTTCTCCTCTTGGTTATTGTTATTGTTTGACATCTTTACCAACTAAGTGACTCCCCTTTTGCTCTCTCAATCAGCTGACCCAGGTTTAGCTCCTTGATAGCAGTCGGTAAGTGACAGAAGCTCTCCAGTATCCCAAAGACGCTGCTAGACCCTCATTAAAGTCTCGGGTGGAAGTGACAGTCGCACTCAACTGCTTGCTCCAGCACTTTGTGAACCAGGTAGGAGGGGGCTAATGGGGTTTAGGGGTCCCCCTCAGTGACCGTGTCCCCACAGCTAGCCCCTTCTCCCTCTCTGCCCCCCTGTTCAAACAGGCCTTCGCCATTGGCCCTCTAGCTTTGGCAAGCTGCCCTTGGAGGCCCTCATTAACAATTAGGAAATGGTTCACAAACTGGCCGATTCTTCAGCCAAGGCTTGGCTTTCCTTCCCCTTGTCTTCTCGTTTGAATATTTAGAGAGCAACACAAACAGAATCTCAACAGGACTGATACATACATTAAACATTTCAGTGCTTTTCAAACACGCCGGCAATAGCAAATACCATTAAAGCTATAGTTCCAACGAGTGGATACAATGTTTGAACTCTGCATGATAGCCCACAATCACTGCTTCCTTTCATGAAAGCAGACTCATGCGTGTAGAAAACTGCACACAAAGATAATTATGTCATCAGCAAATGACCTCACAAGATCATTACATGGTGCATCAATAGAGGTACTCTGTGTTCCTTGAAAGTATAAAATGAATGAAATGATCACATATCTGCTCCAGGTATTGAACTGCAGTGTTATAATATTTGCATGGTGTGCTCAAGAGTCATTTACCTAGTCAAAGTAACTCGACTTAATTTCAAATTTGATAGTATTTTCTGACAAGCAAATACTGCTTGATTAAAGTTTTGCAAGCAGACCTCTTTACAGCAAACTTCTTGACTTATAAAAGCTGGAAAAGCAAAGGTGTGATTCATGACTTTATCAAGGCACATCTACATTTAAAGGCGGAGAACTGCACCAGTTGGAAAGTAAAGTCCTTCCCAAATTCAAGCTAAGTAAGAGTTAGTTTCACCTAGCGATTTACTAAAATAGGTTGAATAAATATAAGGAAGTTTGTTAATGTCCTAAATAACGTGTTAATCTGCTACTGGGCAGTATCTATGCTGTCCAATCAACAGTAATGAACAATGTCAACAGGAAGTCACTGTAGCATCTTAAGCAATTAAAACCTCCAATGGATTTATTTTTTTGTATGCAAGAGACAACCTCAACGCCCATTAACAATTCAGCCTAACCTTGCATCACAATCTGCAGAAATGTACACTCTGCTTCTTACTCGGTCACTCTTTCTCTTCTTAGCTTCATCTGTCACCCTCCTCGTCCTCTAGGCCTCAGCCATTGTATCAAACAGTACTGGGATGAGTTATCTGGCTTATCTCAATAACTGAAGGCGTGTGAACTGTATTGCCGCAAAGCCATATACATTTCCTGTCTCAATGTCAAGTTAGAAATTAAGAACAGCTTGTGCAGTTGGATCCCAGTACCCTAAACATTTTCTTGTTAAATGAAAAAAAAAACCTCTGCTAGGATTACAGTTTGGTCAAGCTATGAATGTCGTAAAAAAACTGTATGCAAGAAATTGAATTTTAAAAGGTGTGACTTTGTTCTGCCAAATTGGTGCAGCAAAGCTAACAGCAGTGTCTGGGACAAATCAATCAATCACTTTTTGCCATTGCTTTCTGACACGTGTGTATGTGCACTACTTTGAATAACCTCGCTGTCCATCAGCCTTTTTTCAGCAAACTATCTGTTGGTGTGAGTTTGCGTTTGAGTTGGTGGAAGTCAGTCAATTCTCACAGGGTAGCAGTGGCACATAGGATGGCAACAAAGTCCCTAAAGTTCTTTGTGTCGCTGGCCTTTTTCTTCAAGGTTTCCAACTGGTGAGAAGGGAAATAAGAAGCTGTATTCTGTTCTCAAATAAAGGGTCTATCAATATCTCTCACCTTAGAGTTGAGTACTTTACTGTGCTCTCTTTAAGACATCTACATCCATACAACACCAGGTATAATGCCACTTACCACACTGAGTGATTCATTCTTTTAGTCAGTCAGATGAAAGCGACTAAACAGAACATAAGTTGGAGACATGCAGTTTCTCTTCTTTGGGTGTTCTTCAGGACAATAAAGAAAAAACAGCATACTAGCCAGACATGCAACTGTAAGATTACTGGGTGGGGGGGATAAACTGTCTGCTGGCACTTACACATACACACTCGCAGGTTAACACAAGCTGCAACTAGCTTGAGTCACTGCAGCCTGTTTAATAACACCTCAGGTGGAATAATTTACATGTGCCTTTCACACATTTAGCTGACACACATACACTGAGATCTACTATGATTACAGTAAACAGTTAAAACAAGCTTGAAATAGCTATATTGCCTAAATCATGTGCAAACGATGCAAAGTGAGTGTGAAAGCCCCAAACGTACAGAGAAACTAATGCTGTATACCTTAAACGTGTGCAGTCAATATAAAAATATTGTTTCGTAAAAGCATCGAAGTAACCGTTTTTATTTTCACAAGAAATATTCATGAAATATTTTGTCTTCATAATTTTCCCTTTAAAATCAAGGTAAGCACTGATTTTCTTCTAAGTATTACCTTTTCCTTTCCTTTCACATCTGTAATTGGCACCTTGCCCAATTCTTCAGCCACTCCAAACTCACAACTAGCAGCGGGTGTGTGCAATAAGAAAACTTGGCGAGGTGAGAGTGCAGTTGCTTTTTCACAGCTAGATGACAGGAAGGGTATAGGTGAGCCCTCAAATTTGATGCTGTTCCCTGTTTCATCTTTCTGACACAGATAATTTATACTGATCTTGTAGAATTTTAAAAACATGGTTGTAACCCCAGCACTATATTCAACATTCAAGACACAAACAGTGAAGTGTAAAATAATAAACAGCCGCCTGTGGTGGACTTGTCAGTAATGCGATTCAAGTCAGCATCGCAATTATTTATTTAGAAGATTCTGAACTGATTCAAAACTTCCAAAAAAAGATTTTTGAAAACATACTTTCTTACTTACTACGAGAATTCTCACCAGAGCACGACAAACCTGATGCTTGCATTTTCCTCTATTCACCCTCTCCACTTTCCTTTGTACATAGATGCCCCCAAGAGCTCCTGAATCCTCAATCGCGCTGCTAACATTATCTAGCTCTCAGCGTCAGAAATGTTGCCTCTGGCTTTGTCCGACACACTAACGTACTGCCTGTACTAAATATGGAGCAGCAAGACATTCAGCCCGTCCCGTGTTCATTGACGGAAAGCGTTTCAGGGCACTGTGGATCCTCCAATCCATCAGGTAAGGGGAAGCCTCACCCGACGTATTCAGGATGCAGCATCTGCAAACTGAAAAGTAGTCCTTTAGGAACGAGACAAATGGCCGACCTCACATTACTTCTCACCACCCGGAGTTTAAATAAGTGGAACAATGGCAAACAACTGCCGACCGACACATACAGCATCACTTTACCAAACTGCAGCCAATTCTGAACGGACAAAGAAAATGCCAAGATCCATCGTCTGTTTCATTTCCTTTCCCCTGATAGCCTAGCTGTTATCAGGGGAAAAAATAGGGAATGCATTTTCAATCGGTCCACAATACATTAGTAATTTGTTTGAAACAAAAATCAATTCTTAACTGACTTGTGACACCAAAGAATCCAAATGGAATTGAATCAAAAGATATTGAAAGACTCACACCACTAAAAAAAGAGTTAGCAGGGGGGTTGGAGGGTAAGACGTTTAATGAAAAACTCTAGTCGTGAGACATTGACAGTGTTTAAGTCACCCTTTTAAGTCACTCCTGTAAGTATTTACTGTAAATTCTTTATCTAAAGGGGTTTTCTAAGTCTGTATGATAAATTGATGATTCCTACCTGTGCTATCTAATTAAAACTGAAGCTGGTTACAAGCAGTGTTGGTGTCAAAGTAATACTGTCCCACTTGAGTAGTTGCTAAGAGAAAGCTGGGGGGTGAGAAGGGTGAGAAGGGTGAGAAGGGTTATGAGGGTCAAGACTCAGTGCAGAGTGAAAGCGAAGAGGGGTGAGAGCAGGCACGAAAAGGAGGGATAGAAATGAAAATCCCATCGTTCAAACACAATTTCAAAGCTCTGTGTGCTCTAGCCAAGAGCCATGGGCATACAAAGAAGACTTTGTCCCAGCAGCAGAGGCTCATGGGATAGGGGATGGAGGAAGAATGCCCGCTGCCCGGCAGAAAGCTTAGTGTGGCTGCTACTAAAGGCCTGTTTAGTCCCACTCTTGACATGCATCCTACACAAATACTTTCCCTCTCCCCTGACCTTTTTGAAGAACTGTGCACAGTAAAAGGCTACATGGGATCTAATAGCATTGTCATTGTGTGTGACTGTACATGCAATGATAATGCACCCCCCCCCCCCCGTCACCTCATTCAAACTAAAGAGAGGATCACCGAGGAATACAGGAAATGTTTTCCATGCCACTAAGTCTGACATTCAGTATGCAGGGCAGCGAGCACGCGGGCAGAGAACAGGGACCGGGCTGAATGCAGAGTAACACCCAGAGGGGGATTCATTGAAAGCACAGTGTTTATGCCCAGGACATCTATCTCTGGTATTTTGTTGTGATAGCCAAGGTGGGAGGGTTTTGAATCTAACACATACCAGCTGAGGGGACAGGTCCTGAAATGAAATGCTCTCTGCAGTTATACTGATGTGCAGCCACATGTTTTCTGTGCAATATAGTAAACAATGCAAACCATCAAAGGAGGGCAAGCCTAAA